TAAAAATTGTTTGAAGGCTTCAACGATCCGTTTCATTTGTTCTGAAATGTGATTACAGGAGTCGATCGGAATAACATAATGCTGATTTTCTGCAAAACGTCCTCTAACAAAGCCAACGCAAATTTCTCCATCGACTGTGCGACCTACTGTAAACTCACATTTATTTCGATACGCCGTTACTCGAGGGGAAGGACGTATCTACAAGTCAGTGCAATCAGCTATCAGATAGTCAAGCTAATAGAATCAGCATCTCCGTTAGCATCAAGGCCGTAAAACACTAAACTCACTCAAAAACAATTACAAAAAGTATTTCTTAATGATAAAAGTATCATTCCAATTCTGTAAAAAGTTCAAAAATTAGACATACTGGTTCAAGAATATTCTCTGTTTTGATTGTTTTTGAGGCAGCTACATTCGCACCCACAAACTGTTTAAGTAGGGAAAATGCTAGGCGCTTAGCATCGTTATACTTCCTCTGCAATTGCTCCGGGTAGGGTAAATTAGCTAGTGGAGTTACGTGCAAACGAGTATCCACATCCAGCCCCTGCTCTGTCTTGTCGGGCTACAAAGATAAGTATATAAGAATTGAAAGCAGGTTGGTAAGCGAAAAAGTCAAACCAAATTTAGTTTTTAAAAATTATAGAGATAAAAAAACGGAAACTTTTGATATATACTTCAAAGTTGCGTCCACGCAGAGGTTCGGGTTTTGCATACTTTGCTGTAAGCTTCTTTCCTTTCTTCACTTCCAAGCCGTTCAAAGCTGCAATAGCTTTCGCCGCTTCTTCTACACTGGAAAGAGAAAAAAATGCCTTTCCACCAACACACTTAATTTTCCTGGCGGTACACCCATCGACCTTCCTAAAAACCTACTCAAACTACAAGGCAAAAAACTTTATAACAAGAAACATTACTATCCCATAATCCCAAACAATAAACACTTTGTAGAATAAAGGCATGACAAGATACATCTATGATTGGGAACTTCAGATTAAAGCTATCAAATCACCAACGGAACGTACTTTGCTAGAAGTGACTTGAGTTGTTTGTAACTAAAATAATCTGGTAGGTTCTGCAGCTGAACTCGTTCGCTGACAAATACTTCCGAGGCTTGTTTTGAAACGACATTACCTTTGGCTTCTTCATCTTCTTCAGACTTTACCGTCACAAAATCTTCTTTTTTTAATTCATTTTCCTCAACTTTATTTACAAAATGTTCAGAAGTTTCCTGACGGGGAGCCTCCTCGACTGTATTCATGGTTAAACTCTCATCACAAAAGTTTGCTGGAAAAAACGAAACCTTAAAAACGGCAGAATTTAAGACCGCTATTCATTAGCAGAGAAATAAAATCACGTTTTGGTAAGGCATAACAGTAACTCAACGATTGCTGCCCAAAGGAAATTTTGAGCGCTACGTCGAAAACGTAAAATATGTCAACATTCAAAAGTCCTCCAAAAACAGCTTTTTTTCCGTACTAAACTCCCAGAAGAATGTCTAGTTTCTGATGCTTTTACTGAAAAAACAAAAGAACCACAAAAATGAAAGCCGTTAACAATAACCATAAAGTATTCAGAATTCGAAATTTTGACGAATTTCCGATTGAACTGTATAAATTACAGAGCACAATCGATTTAAAACAACTTCTTGGGTTTTACTAGTTGCTCAGGATACTGAGTTCCTTTAAGTCTTAATGATGACCCACTGCTACAATGTACCTAACGCTGTAGTTCTGAAAGAATTTTTTTGAACCTCTAGTGCCCAGTTTCCCAGTGTAACAGTGCTGCATGCAACCTGCAAATGGCCACTGACATTCAGCTAAAAAAAAAAAATATATTTTTTGACTTCTAGATATTTTGAAGGCACAATCACACATAAGTCTGACTGTTCAAGTTCTGGGTCTCTTTGTTCGGATTCGGTAGAAGGCAAATTCATTTCGCTGTGGTTGGTCACTACTGCCGGGAACTTCTGACCCCATGTTAGCTTTTTTTAGAAGATCGAAAGACCGGCCTGAAGCCTTCCGACAAACGTCACTTTTTTTTTGAGACTCACCGATAAATTAGTATAGCGTAGCTGTATTGGAAAAGTGCCATTTAGCTGTCGAGTTGTGAGTAACTAGTCTTAAACTTGCAAGAACCACCAGAAACCCTTTCGTCGGTTTTAACATTGTTCCGCCAAAGCCTTCTTCTGCTCTTCAGCTGCCCAAGAAACTTCCATGGCCTTCTGAGCGCCACCGACTATTTAACATCGAGAAATATGAAGTTAACCGGTCATAGTGGTATACGGCGCATTTTACTTGAACGTTTTAAGTTAAACAGCAGAATAACAACATGGTGTACAACAACTGATAGGGGTCGTTTATTTGCCATGACGAACAAACAGCCACGAACAGGTATTTACGATGAAGAAGAGCTTATCGAATTTAAATATGCAGCATTCAAAAAACTGACGCAAATCCATGCACTACTCTCTCCACATTTTTCTCGCTGCCCATATAAACAGCGCTTTAAGAATCTGAGATTGGAGCCTACTACTGTGGGAAAGATTAAAACACGAATTCATGAGAAAAACATGCCCGCTTACCATTGCTACGGTGACTACAGTGCTTTATTTTAGGATAACTAAGGAGATCTGGGACGTATCGTTTTCTGGGAAAAATATTTTTGTTTTATTGCTTAGCCGATCGGGAAGACAATCAAGCAGCATATTATTATAATTTAACGCACTTTATTACACCAAGGCATTTAAAGTCTTCATATTTTTGTGTACTAAGCTTCCTTCTCGATTTTACTTTCCCATCAGTTGAAGCCCTAAAAGATGTAATTCTTTTTAACCTGTTTAAAACTTACTGCCGTCGTCTACATACCACAAGTGAGTGACCACTAAAATTGTCTGTCAGAATTCATCACGCTTTTCAGTTATTCAACTGTTTTTTAAGGGATTAAAAGATGGTTATGAAGAAATATGAGTATCAGCATAAAGGCAATCATTTTGGCAAATAAAACTTGCATTAATTCGAGACTTGACTTTTTAAAAATTTATCACTGCAATGAAACCCGACTTTATTTACATAGCTTTTCGACTACACAGCAATGCATTTCGTTACAACTACAGAAAAATTCGATGATTTGTAGCAATATAGGGAAGTTTTTTGTTGAGAAAAGTTGAAAGTAAAGCATTTGCATGAGTAATTAAGTGCTGAGGAAAGACTAACAGCGACAGAGGGTATTGGGATATTGCCAATGTAAATGGTTCCACTACAGCTTGAAAAGACCAGCTGCAGCTACTACACTGACCATATGCAGTGGGTCTGAGTATTGAACAAATCAGTGGTAGTCAGTTTTTTACAGTTGTATATTTCGTCGTATATTTCGAATTATGAGCATTTTATGCATCGATCAAAAATAATTGTTCGGGATAGTGATCTAGAAAAATTAAAGGTTGATTTGTGATTCTTCTGTGAACCTTCTTGCAGCTCTATGAAAAAAGTTATACCAATTTTTTGTACGACCGTCAAATACTCGCCTATTACCGTGTTCAATATGTATACACATTTGGCAGTTGCTTTCACTTATTATAGCAAACTACAAAGTCTATTTGTCATATTATGGTGCCTTTTAGGGAAAATTAGTTACTTTATGAGACGAATTAATTAAGTTATCCATCCAATTTCTGGTCAATGTATCGCTCCCCACTGATCCCATTAAACAATGTTTGCTCTTTTAAAATTTATTCTGTAATAGGAATTAAGAGGTTTCAACACGGGAATGGCTGCGGTGGAACATTGGTTTGCTGATTATAAGGTTGCTGCAGAACGAGACTTATCACAAAAGTAAGTTTTTATCTTGCGTAATTTCTTGTACTGCGGCAGAACAATTGAATTTTTATATATTTTTTGTTGCTTTTTAATTGATTGCATTTACAAATGTTTTAACAGACAAGAGTTTCAATTTTTTGTTGATTTTTTTACTTATTTTTTTCTCTCTAGCCACTTATTTTTGAAATTAATTTTTTTTAAGGAAAAGTCCTGCATGTAATTTCAACAAATTCTATTTGTTTGCATACCTAATAGTGTATATCCTTTTAAATTACATTATAAGTCCAAAAGTTTTCATAATTGGCTTCAAGAATCGTATTGTGATGTATTTTCCAAAATTTAATAGTGCGTATAGATTATTAATTTTTTGTGAAATTGCATATTTCTTATACTTTTTTTCCATCGTAAAGTTATTACGCTTCATAACCAGGACTGGAAGCAAGTTATTTGTTGCATATTTGATGCAGTGTTACACATTTTTTAGTTGGAATAAACTTAATCCGAAGTAGGGATATGAAGTACGTCTAAATTTTAGAAGTTTAAGTTTAAGCATCAGGTACTTGTGTAATTTTTCTTTGCATTTTTGGTAATAATCGTAGTGGTAACCATTTTTATGTCGTATCAGTAAGGTCATGCTTAGGATACCAGTTCACGGTGATAAGAATGTGTTAATAACATCTGCTTTGCCCTACGTCAATAACGTCCCTCATCTTGGTAACATTATCGGCTGCGTCTTGAGCGCTGATGTCTTTGCCAGGTTTTCATTTTTCGACCACTAATTTAGTTCTTTTCACTAATAATCTAAATAAAACCTTTTTTGGTTAAGAGCATCGGATTTTATCATTTTTTGTTTTATTATCTGTTTCTTTTATTTAGTTGCATTTGTCATTTCTGCTTTTATTGCTATTCAGGTACTGTCGTTTAAAGGGTTGGAGATATTTGTATATTTGTGGGACAGATGAGTACGGTACTGCAACAGAGACAAAAGCTCTGAAAGAAGGTGTAACTCCTCGAGAAATTTGTGATAAATATAATGCTCTTCACCGAGAAATTTATGATTGGTTCAATATTGAGTTTGATCATTTTGGCCGAACTAGCACTGAACATCAAAAAGAGCAAGTTTTTGTTTCTTTGTTAAAAAATCTAACGTTCTTGCAATTCGTTTAGTATTTGGAAATTGTTTTCAAGTCGGAGACACACAAGGGTTAAATTTGAAGTCTCTTTCAGCCATAGACCATATAATTATTAAAAAAATTATTGTAGGCGCTTGGTTGAATTTTCATTTCTTTGTTTGGAAAATTCTTCTTTTTTTCCTTTAGGTTGGTACAAGACTTATTTTTAAAGCTACATGAGAATGGATACACGGCAAATGACACCATCGATCAACTACATTGTGGGAACTGCAACCGGTATAATTAGATGAGACCGTTAGATAATTGTTGCTCAACAGTTAAAATCGAGTCATTCCTGTGAAATGAATACAGATGTATTACTCATCAAGTATTTCTGTAGGTTTTTGGCAGACCGATTCGTTCATGGTGAATGCCCTTATTGTCATTATGAAGATGCGCGTGGAGATCAGTGTGATGGATGCACGAAGCTTATTAATGCTCCGGAGCTTATTAACCCTAAATGTGAAGTTTGTGGAGAAGTTCCTGTTGTTAAAAAATCAAACCACATTTTCCTCCTTTTGGACAAATTATCGGTAGTTTTCAGTTTTCATACTTTGACTTATGTGTACTATTATTACAACAATTTCTTACTTTCTTTGAATTTGTTTTTCAAGGGTGAAGTAGAAAAGTTTCTGGAAAGCAGATTAAGTACTTCGAATAATCATTGGTCGCCAAATGCAGTTTCAATTGCAAAAAGTTGGATGAAGACTGGATTAGAAAGAAGATGTATCACTCGGGATTTGCGGTGGGGAGTCCCTGTTCCGTTAGCTGGGTTTTCAGATAAGGTTCTTTTTTAATTTTTATCAGTATTTTTGCTACACTTGTTTTAACACAGGTTCCTCAGGATGAGTTGAAATCAAATCTGTTTAGGTTTTTTATGTTTGGTTTGACGCTCCAGTCGGTTATCTCTCAATAACAAAGGAACTTCTTGGCGATCACTGGAAGCTTTGGTGGAAAAATCCAGAGGATGTTGAGCTGTACAATTTTGTCGGTAAAGTGCGTTAAATACCAAATTAGTTGCTTTTTATCACGGTGAATTTTACCAAATTTTGGACAGAGTAATTTTCAGGATAACGTCGCTTTTCATTCGGTTATGTTTCCTGCTTCACAACTTGGTGCCCGTGACAACTACACGCTTGTTAGCCATCTGTGCGCCACCGAGTATCTTAATTATGAAGACACGAAATTTAGCAAGTAATTTGTTTTTTTACTTCAATAACTGCTGCTTTTCCGCAGGAAAATCTTTTTTTTAGGTCAAGAGGTACTGGTGTTTTTGGTGATATGGCATGTAAAACAGGTATTGAAGCAGATCTTTGGCGTTTTTATTTATTGTATATGCGACCAGAAAGTCAGGATACGTCTTTTTCTTGGGACGATTTTTCTTTGAAGGTAATTGTGTATTCAGTTTGGAACTTTTTTTCTTGAAGATTATTATTTATTTGTTTATTTTCTATTTTTTTTTGTGCTCTATTTACATTTGCCATTTAGTTTTGTAATAGTTAGCTTCATCCCCATCTTAACCTGGTTTTTTTTGAATGTTTTAGATAAATGCTGAACTTTTAAATAACATGGGGAACTTTGTCAACAGAGCTTTGTCTTTTGTGGCTTCATCATTCAGTGGCATTGTGCAAGAAATGGAATTATCTGCTGCAGATATTGATTTTTTGGATACCGTAACGAAAGAAATAAAGGAATATGATAGGCTTTTAGAAGCAGTTAAGCTGAGGGATGGATTGACAAGAATATTGGCAGTGTCTCGATTAGGGAATCAGTATATGCAGACGATGAAACCGTGGGTTCTTGTAAAGGGTGATGAAGCTGAAAGGTTTGAAAGCGGTTTTTGTTTTTCAGTTCTACAATTTTTAAGATATTTTCGGGGTAGAGGGTTGTGATAGCTCAGTTTCTGTGCATTTCACTATTGTTTTTTACGGAAGGCTTACGAAACTGCGATAGAATTAAGTGCTCTGTTTGTCTTCGCGGGACTTTTTTTCCAGTATTTACTTGAACAGTTCAGGAAACGTGCAGGAACAGTAGTATCTGTCGCTACAAATATCGCGTGCTTGCTCGCAGTAATGCTTTACCCTTACATGCCAGAAGTTAGTGCAAAAATTTTTCGACAATGCAATTTAAGCTGTCTACCATTACTCCCCGAAAATGCAGTAGCATTTCTTAAAAAAGGACACGAAATTGGGAAGGTAATATGCACTCAAGATTTCTGCTATTATAAAATTTTTAATGAGTTATGTTCAATGGGAAAATTTTTTCTTTGTCTGTTGTCAAGGTGTACTAAATCCTCATTATTAGAGGACCAGGCAAAATTATTTGTATTTAGCCGCAGCCGCTTTTCGTGAAAATTGACAAAGCTTCTGTCGAGGAATTTAAGAAGGAGTTTGCGGGCACTGCTGCTGATGCTGAAACTCAAGCGAACGTTAAGAATTTACAGTCCTCAGAAGCAGCTAAGAATAAAAAGAAGAAGCAGGGGCCGAAAGTTGTTACAAAAGAAAAATATGAAGCTGTTGCTAAAGGTTCGTACTGTAACTCGGCACCGAAAATAAAACTGATTATTAAAAAGATTATCATGTTGTCTTGTTTCCTCGACGACGGTTCTTGAGTACTTAGATCCTCACTTGTACAATGTTATTTGCTTTGACTGGATTTTTTGGTTTCTTCTGCCTCGAAGATTTAATTGATTTGTTGTCATGATACGATTTTACGTGGTGTCACTGGATTTTTTCTTATTTTTCCTGTTGAATTAAGAGCTTCACCTTTCAGTTATCGACAGGTGACGGTATGATTAGGACGATTATGCTTTCTTTTCAAACTACTTGTATGAAAAGTTAAGGCTTTTCATTCTTATATTTTTAAGAAACAGTGACATTTATTCTAGGCTTTTTTTATTTTTAAAGCTTTTGTTCTGCACTTGTTCTGCACTTTCTCAAATTTTGATTGAAATTGAGGTCCTGATATTTTTTGCTCCATAATGAACTTTTCTGAGTTATAGCTTAGTGCTTGAATTTGCTTCCCTGAACTTGGTCTCTATGAGGTGTTCACATTTTAAGTCTGGGGCTCTAAATCTTCTATTTTTATTCTTAGATAAACGCTTTGCAGGGTCTCCGTCCTTGATGAACTACCCAAATCTCCTCGAACATCAAAAGAACATTGAAAAATTATTGGCCACAGCAACCGCAAAGTTCAATCAGAGAAGTCATATTTATAGTTTGAAAGTTTTCAGATATTTTTTGTAAAGCTTTTTTCTTTTCAGGAGAGCTTTTTGTAAGGGCACGCTTAGCTGAATTGCGAAAGAGGAAGGAAGAACTTGGAGCAACGATTGAAAGTTTAATGCAGGAGCTAGTGAGGGTAGAAACAGAAGGCGGAGGTGATTTGTGTTGTAATACTAACTTCCTATTTTCTGGAATTTAAGAAGTAAATTTCTGAAATAACCATGCCATTTCCAACATTAGGAGGTTTATTTCAGTTAGACAAATTTGTCCACTTTTACCAAAACGAGAAACACTATCCTTGTTTGAAAAATCGGACGAAGTTGGTCACAGTTTAAACAAGAAGAACATATCTAGGCCATCTGGGGATGCAGAGGTTCAAAAGAATTCTCATAAGGCTGCAGTAAAAAGCAAAAAGGTTAAGCAAGAGTCACATGCAGAAGGAGAAGCAGTCAAAGGTTTGTTTTCAGTGGCTGCAGTTTCTTCTTCTGTTTTAATTTTGGATATGTCGGCTATTTCTACTTTGTTCGATTACTTGGCAGTTTCTTTTAAATGATTTAAGGAACAGTAAAATTGTTGAAGGTAATGCTGGTAAAGACGAAGTTGATGTAGGAAGGCTAGATATGAGAGTTGGTCGGATTTTAAGGGCTGAAAAGCATCCTAATGCTGATACTTTGTATGTGGAGCAGATAGACCTTGGCGAAGACAAGCCGAGAACTGTTGTTTCAGGCCTTGTCCGTCATGTTCCTCTAGAACAGGTATCCTCCTTAATATTGACTGTAACTTGCATCTTTCACCAGTCTCCGAGTTTGAATGTTTCGGTAGTAAAAACCTAGGTGAGTACATCATTTCAGATGCAAAACCGATTGGTAATATGCCTTTGCAACTTGAAACCGGTCAAAATGCGTGGTATTGAATCTCAAGCAATGGTTATGTGCGCCTCTTGTCCAGAAAAAGTCGAAATCTTGGAAATTCCCAAGGAGTGCGTGCCAGGTCAAAAAGTCACTTGTTCTAAATATGTTTCACGGCCTGATCCCGTACTGAATCCAAAGAAAAAAATTTGGGAGTCTGTTGCCCCTGATCTGTCTGTTGACAGTGAGGGGAAGGCAAACTATAAAGGTGCTATTTTAAAGGTGGAAAATGAGTTTTCTATTAGTGCACCTACCTTGAGGGATGTACCTGTTAAGTAAACGGCTTTTTTTAAACGTACCTGTGGCCACGTCTAGGCAATTTGCAACGTTTTGCAATTGCGCTTGTTAAAGTTCTGTTGCGGTACTGTTAATAAAGTTGTTTGGAGGTGTTGTTTTATGTTTACATAAAATTTCCTAAGTTTATAACTACGTGTATTTAACAGAGCTGTTTCAAGCTAGAAGATATGGACCTTTATTCGTATGTTTTTGGCTTTCACAGTATTTTTGATGCGAGCTGGTGGAGAGTCGTTAGACGAAAACTGGAAGTATTTCAAGTCTCACTCTGTTTTATAGAGACTTCAACGGTGAATCGCACGTCTATTCTTTGCCTGACTTGGAGAGGCCCTACAAATTGGTTGCCTTCGCAGGTAACTAGTGATGGAGAAGAAAGGTCGGAAAAAGGGGACTTCAAAAAAAATGAAGGCTGACGAGGATGAACGGTTTGCCAACATTGGGAGTGACCCGAGATTTGAGGTACTCCCAGCGAAAAAGAGGAAGGTCGTAGTTGATGAAAGGTAAGATTAAAGTTTTTGGAAAGTGCGTAGGCGAGAAAACACCTTGAAACCATGTAAACCTATTTTGACTCAAAATCAGATTGCTTTGTTATTGGAATTGACGATAGGACAGAGTTCAGTGGCCTATGTGGTTTGCAGGTTTAAGAGTATGCTGTCGGATAAGAAGTTCAGTTCTCGTAGTGCTGTGGACATGCGGGGCAGATCGCTCAATTTAAGTAAAAAAAATGATCTTAAGGACTTGTATG